AAAGAGCGAGCATGTTTGGTGTAACGGGGATTCGAACCCGCGACCCGCAGATTGCGAGTCGAGCGCCCTAACCACCTGGCCATGCCGGGGCCCCTTTATTCTTCAGATGCAAACTAGAATGACCATGTAGAGCAAAGTGTGAGATAAAGTAAAGTTTGAGTGACGTCATGCAGGCCATCATGGAAATCTGAAGTGTTTTGATTAGCTTTCAATGTATTGTTATAAGTGTTTCTCATTTCCGGTGTAAAACTACCGGAAACAAAACATCAGATATAAAGAAGTTATAGAATCAGTGTTTTCTGATTATCAGAAAAATAAAGTTGTTTTTTTTTTGTTCATGTACTGGAATTCCCAATTTTTACCACTAATCTTCTTAATATTAATTATTTATTTGCGATAATTTCCATGATATTTTTCAATCACATCTGTTTCACATTCTTTTGTTAAACAGTCTTCATACCTCACTGTTATTGTACTTTATCAACACTCAGTCTAGTTTCTCTTGACCATTTTTATTTTTTAGAACAATACATCTATAAGTTCTGTATAACTAAAGTTTTGTTTCCGGTAGGTATTGAACCGAAAACGAGAAACACTTATATCATGGTTAAAAGAAAGTTTTAATTTATGAAGAGACAAAGTCGTAATGTGGAATTACTTTATCTGTAATGTTACTTTAAACGGAGTTCTGTACGGTTTTGACAGATTAATGCAAATAATTTTCTTTGTAAAGAAAACCATCATCACTTGATTTAATGATTTATGTAGGTATAAATACACTTTCGTAACTAGATGCTAATGACAAAAGAAATATTTTGGGTTTTGTAGTGAAATTCATCGCATTAAAAGTAGCTATGCAAAGGAAAATAAAATTAAAAACACTGTCATAGAGCCTTACCTGAATGCAAGGTACGGGACGAATTACTGTGGTACAACTATTTGAATCCTTGTAAAAACCCATGGGTTCGTGAAAAAATTACAGTAATTCTATGTCACGCGTACCCCTGTTAAACATGATAATTGTTATATTCCCCACAACTATTTGAATCCTTGTAAAACGCCCATGGGTTCGTGAAAACAATACAGTAATTCTATGTCACGCGTACTCCTGTTAAACATGATAATTGTTATATTCCCACAATTATATGAAGCCTTGTAAAACGCCCATGGGTTCGTTAAAAAAATACAGTAATTCTATGTCACGCGTACCCCTGCTAAACATGATAATTGTTATATTCCCCACAATTATATGAAGCCTTGTAAAACGCCCATGGGTTCGTGAAAAAATTACAGTAATTCTATGTCACGCGTATCCCTGCTAAACATGATAATTGTTATATTCCCCACAATACTTTAAGAATAGCTGCAGGGGTATCTACTATGTAACGATTATTTCCAGCCTATAACACATACACTATACTTACAATGATTTAGTTTTTAAAGTAAAACTAGAATAACATATTATTTTACTCGTGGCAAAAACGTTAGTTCAAATACTATATTTTTGTTTTATTCTGAAATACAAATAAACTGAAAATAGAAAGACAGTTAGGATTCTGTACAATCTAAAGCCTACCATCAATTAAAAGTTGATGTTTTCTCTTTGACTCCTCCGATGGTTCATATTTTTCAATCAATCTTCTACATTCATCCAGTGTTACCCCATACACCTGCAAAGCATAACACACTTCGCCTTAGACTGAAATTTTCTGATAATATAGCACATGTAAAGGTTTACATAAATCAACAACAGATTTCAGTCAATGATGAATAATTACATCAGAAATTCTACAATATTAAGCTGTCTCATAAAATCAAAAACAAACTTTTCAGTAGAGTACAAAAACATCATTACGAAGGTATAATTAACTAATATATATATATATTTTACTAAAAACTGTGACAGCCAACGAGGCATCTAATAAAGTTGCATTTGTTTGTTTGTAATTAAACACAAAGCTACACAACGGGCTATCTGTGCTCTGCCCACCACGGGTATCGAAACCCGGATTCTAGCGTTGTAAGTCCGCAGACATACCGCTGTGCCACTGGGGGGGGGGCAACAGAGTTGTAAGTCTCAATAAACGGTTATTTGTGTATCTAGGTTTCAGATTTTTGTGACTATTAAAACATTCAGACGTCTGGATTGCACATACTTTACTCATGATATGGTTAGCTTGTACAAGTTCACTTCATAACCATTTCCACGAGCGTGTGTTTAAACCAGAAATTTATGAAAGGGAAATACAAGTGAGCATAAAAATGACATGATAAATTGCATTGGGGTTGGGTTAAATAAAAAATGGCAATTTCAAAGAATCTGAAAAAGCCGTTGTCCTAAACTAAGGCGGATTTCATATTGGAAAGCATTAACGCCTCAGTTTTTGTAAAGCAAACCACTAACAGTGATACAATTACAAGTAAAGAATACTTCAAATAAAAGCAGTATTTCGTATGTTATAACACACACATCCGAATTACAACTTATATCAGTAAAGAAGTATCTATTTGGAAGACAATTTTTTTCAAGCTTAATTTAAATTTTTTGACATATTGTCGAACGAAAATATATTTCAAAATATCTTCAAAAAGAATGAAAAAATAGAATACTTATAAAATAAGATTGCTAACAAGTACATCGTGATCCTAGAGTCCTGGATATAGCCAACAATTCGGGATTATTTTGATGGAGTTGACCAGTTCACATTCCAGGATGACTCTGCCTCATGCCACAGGGCTAAAAAAAAAGTTGGTAATATTCGTGCATTCTATCCAGTGGAAGTGAAATAAAGAGGAAATCTCAGGTACGTGTATTGACAAAACATCTTAGGTTTTATTTGATTGCTTCAGATGGGAAGGACTATCTTCGAATGGAGAGGATCAGGACACTACACCGGCCTGACAACAATCCAGGTCTCGACTCTATCGAAAAATGCTGGTAGGTAATGGGTAAGAAAGTAGAAGAGAAAACACTGATAATTAATTAACTTCAGGAAACCTTACTCTGCATGTAGCATCATGAACTCACCTCTGCCTACATTCAATACTTCGTGCACACTACGCCACGGCGATGTCAATCATATATTAAGGTCAGAAGTGGCACAACCAAATATTGGAATAAGAAACAAACCACGTTTTGTCAATTACATTAATGGTGTTGTCTTTAAATCTAGGTTTTCTTATTCAGAAAATATTTTCATAGTTGCCAAGTAATTGTTGATCATCTACTGTAATACGTTTGGTTTCTTAATAAAGGTGTGTGTATATATATATATGTTTGGATGGCTAAAATATGGGTCAGCTTTTCCTCCTTCTTCGGGGTGGTAGAGCCTGGTGGTCAGGATGCTCGACTCGCAATCTGAGGGTTGCGGGTTCTAATCCCCGTAAGCGAACGTGCTCGTTCTTTCAGCCGTGGGGGCATTATAATTTGATGGCCAATCCCACTATTCGTTGTAAAAGAGTAGCCCAAGAGTTGGCGGTGGGTGCTGTTAGCTAGATGCCTTCCTTCTACTCTATCACTGCTGAATTAGGAACGGCTAGCGCAGATAGCCCTCGAGTAACTTTGCGCAAAGTTCAAAACAAAACCAAACTTCCCCCTACCCTCAATGTCCATAACCGTTTTATACTAGTTCTGACACTTCCAAGAACAGTGTGAAAAAAAATTTGGTGATGGAATAATTTATTCTAACACTTTAATATACAGGCAAGGAAGGCTGATCCAAACCCAGCCATCACACAGTAACGTGTCTGAATAATCAGAATTGAGTTTCTTGTTTATTAGGAAATATCTGGTTGTCAAGAGTTACAAGGTCGAAGTCTTATTAGGAAATATCTGGTTGTCAAGAGTTACAAGGTCGATGTCTTATTAGGAAATATGTGGTTGTCAAGAGTTACAAGGTCGAAGTCTTATTAGGAAATATCTGGTTGTCAAGAGTTACAAGGTCGACGTCTTATTAGGAAATATCTGGTTGTCAAGAGTTACAAGGTCGATGTTTTATTAGGTATAGGGAGTTGTAATTTCGGACAAAAACTTTATCTTAATACTTTGATACTTTTGTAGACATTCCTTTTTCTACTTCCTACTTTTAATTTCCTTCCAATATGTATCATTCAGGTGACGCACTGATATATTTTTTTTTGCTTTTATGATGGATTTTTCCGCTGAATTACACTTTGCACAACAACTGTTGTTTCACATTTTGCTATTTACGCATTAGTTTATATGTATACGTGTGTGTGTATATATACAGTTAGGTACGATTAATGTCTTTTGAGAAATCAGTACAATTATTATTTAATCAACATCCTGGTTGGCTGAGAAGTTGCATCAGGTCTATTAGATAATGAGGCATTAAGCTGGGCACTGGTATTAACCCAAATGTTCGCTAGTGGTGTTGATGCTACTTTTTCTGTGGTAACAACAATATCATCAACAGCTTGGAACAGAGCACACGCTTTTAATCCAGATCGTAATACCTTATCCGTAAAGTGAAAGATAGGTAAGTCAGAAGATGTCCGCAGGATTCATTAGAAAAATATACAAGCTTAACAATATAAATTTTTAGATTGCCATGTATTTATTGACTGTAATTTATCATACGTACTTTTTCATAGTTCAGTTTTCTTTTCTGAACACTTCACGTGTCATTCAAGACCCTAGTCGGGATTGTTTAAATTTTTACTCTAAAGAGAATGACTTGGAAATTTTTTAAAGAAGAAACACAACACCCTTCACACAAGCCACTACATAAAATTATTTAATAAATGATAAACTTACCCCCTGTTCTCCTTCAAGAAACAGATGAAAATCTTCTGCAGTCATGTAGTCTTTCCCCGAATACCTAAAACCACAGCAACATACATTATATACAAGTGATGACAAACAGTACTTTACCTACTCATGCATCTTTCATGTGTGTTGTATAAACTACAGCTAAAAGAACATTATGTCTGGCTTTTATTAGACAAGCTGGCAGCATTGATAAACAATACAAAAAGTCAAAACAGGATGCACCAAAAGTCTGATATTTTTTGATTAAATCCTACAGTGTGAAAATTTTGTTTTCCTTCGAGACATTAAACACAGGTTCTCATTTTATATACACAACATTGATAAACAGGAAGCTATAAAAACACCGAAAACAAATCGTTATCGTTTAGCTAATTTGAGAGACATATAGAAACTTAACTATTGCACACATATATATATATACTTCCCTTACTGTTTAATACCTTAGGTGTGAACACAGTTTATGACTGTGTAATACCTTAGATGTGAACACAGTTTATGACTGTGTAATACCTTAGATGTGAACACAGTTTATGACTGTGTAATACCTTAGATGTGAACACAATTTAT